ACGTCTGTGCCGGCCACAGTTAGTTCCTTTCCGCCATAGTGTTCGAGCAGAAGGTAGCGATGTATCACTACACCATCCGCCACTACAACGCTGACCGCCATTTAGGCTGGCTCTGTATCTTACGTGCTCCTCTCATGGTTCACCAAGTTGCAGAACCCATCACCAAAGCTTTGCCGTCCTCAGCGCCCGTAGCCCATTAGCGCATTCGATTCATTGGCTGTTTCGCCTTTTTGCACCGTAATATGTGAACGTAGGCGCACACGCCGAGAAGATCTGCCATCGACAACCCGACAAAACAGTTGAACAGGGTACTGAGCTCTTGGTCGAGAGCTGTTTCGCGTCGGCACTCGAAGAGCAAGTGAAAACCAGCATTTAGTTCAACCTAGTCACCTAAGCAGTAGTCCCAATTGACTAGCAGTGATCGCTTGAGTAATCTCATGACGGAGACGGCGATCTGACCATCTGCTGCCGCTGTTATAGTCCATTCATGTCTATTCTTTGCCTACAGATGACTATATCCCCTATATCTAAGGGAATGTGTGCTCTGCCGTTCATTTCTTGGTCAGTCCATCTTGTGCGCGAACATCACCCGTAGCAGCGACAGCGATAATAGTGGTACCAATGATATCGGTCGCGCTGCTGCTAGTGGACTACATCAGATGGCGCTGCTCTCTGGCTCGAGCGAGCTGGGTCGCCGCCACGGCGGCAAACTACCACCGGTTGTGTGTTTGGCTCAGTCCGTTGTGTAATAGGCGTTAAGGTAGAACAGATTCTCTTAGAGACGACGAAGTAACAACAGCATTGATAACATGCCACATTGCAACACATCGATTGAAACGCAAGAGGAAGTGATTGCCCTTCACTGAGCTAATACCCCGGGGTTGTCAGGTGGAAAATGACTATAAAGAGTGAGGAAGGAAATGCCAGAAACTGGCGAACCAAACAAAAAATAAGGAGACCTCTATATCTAACTTGCAGCCAGTCAATTTCTACGAACAGCGCTCTGCCGACAGTAAACGGTATTAATATATATATATATATATATATATATAAAATCATAAAAACTAATTGAGTATTTAGCGAAGTCTTGCTGCTGATGTATTCAAAGTATACCTGAGCTCCAAAAGCCCAAAACAGGAGATTTCGAGAAAAGGTCACACAAAGTTTTCGTTTTAAAATACCAAATATTATTTCAATAACTCAGCCGGATACTCCAAGAGCACCGGCCTATAAGCTTATTAAGTTAATTTAAAGGGTAGCTTTAACGATCTTGATGACAATGGAATTATGATGGTGTGAATTCATGACATGAACGAGCATATTTTCTCATTTCATTTTCATACTCGCAAACATACTTTATGGCTGCGCAATATAGTCTCATCATATTGTATTTTTCTTCTCTCTCATACCTTTCTGAAGGCTCGGCTAAACGCGACAAGAATTTCGCGTCTTTTGATCCTCAGCTTGAGGCGTGAGGCAGAGGGAGGCGTTGAATCTTGCATGAAGTCTATTGCTTGATAGGTCCAAGACGTATCGTTTCAAGGCGTACCAAATAAGCAAAAGTACGAAAGCCAAGAATGACCTGAGTTGTTGAGATCTGTTTAGATGTGTTGGTAATGCAGTGTTCTTAAACAATTAAACATAGTAAAAGAGTTAATAAACTCATTTGGTTGACAAGATGTTACCAGCGTTTTCCTTATTTAATCTCTTGCTTCTATCCCTTATACTTTCCTCTGCATTTACTTTTTTTCTAACAAGTCGCCGTAAGCACTCAGCGTCTGCTGCACCGTGGTTCCGACGACAATGCTTAAAAGGTCATTAGCTCTTTCACCCCACCCCACCCCTCCTTCTGTTCGTTCCAATATGTGATAAAGATGGCTAGAGATACAACGCACAGACTTCGTTTCGCGTTGGGAGCCAGTCGGCAGTCTGATGGGGTGCCTAACGGTGATACCGGACGTAAGACTCGAAACATTGAGATACACGCTAGTGCCACTTGTACCGACAGCCGAAGTAGATCTGTGTAGAGTAGAGAGATAGACAAATCGAGTCGACTCGACTGGTCGTATTGCTTTCGCTCGTGCCCTTTTACGCTGGCGCCACGACATCCACAACTATGACGACGATTGCCGCGACTGCTACAGGTATATCAAGTCCTGTTGTAGTCAAAATGACGACGATACCTCAAACGACACAATAAGCCGGCCAGCCCTAGTCTCGCCTATTCTATGAATGCAGGGTGGCAGAGTTCGTACGCGTAGACACCGACCAACGTAGTCGCTACCTTCACAGGGGAACGAACAGCGACGTCGGTCGATGCGCCGAAAACTATGCACGTAGTACAAGCAGTTTTAGTAGTTGTGACAGTTAGTAATATGAGGCTACACACATTACCTCGAAACAGAATCGAGCAGAGCAGTAAAAGGGCGACGGCGCCACCGATGGCAAGAAGCAATAAAGCTGACGGCATAGCGTTGCTTTGACAAGGAGATAGTAACGGCAAGGAGAAGCAACCTCTGCGTGGAAATCGGCACTAGTCAGTGACTGGGTGCCAGTCGCCGGTCGTCAGGAACCTACGAAATCGCCAAGGGGAAGAACGTTCTCCGTCGCTATTTATCAAATGTTCTGTTAACTGTGTCATCGAGAGAGAGAGGGATTGAACAACATAGAAAGCAACGAAGGAACGCTAAAGCACGCCAGCACTTGGTGGGCATCTAAGCTTGCATAGTGCACACGAAAATACATACACACACAAGGTAACGCGTGCGACACACCGGGCGGGAGCACGACCGTACAATTTGATACGAATTTGGTGCCGAGCGTCTCTTGTGCGCGAAAGCTCTTCATTGAAGTTGGCTGTTTGCTGGTAGTACTAGGATACTGTTTGGCAAGCGACGATCATATAGATAGGGCAATGAAAAGCGTAATAAGAACAGTGTTAATCAATTAAGGAGGGTTAATTTGCGGGCGATCCAACTACAGCTACTGCATCATCTGATAAGAACAACTTGAAACTGGTTATCATGCGAAGCTGATAACTGATCGGAGCGTAAACTTTGTCTGTGTATAACTATTGTACATATATTATACATGTAACAGCATGACATCGGGCTAGAATCGAACGCGTAAAAACAGTTTGGCGTTCTACCAAGAATTTGAAGACGATGAGTTTTAATGTTAGGTATATATTTCATTTAGAACCTCTAGATCATATAGGTCGAATATTGAAATGCTAGAATAAAATATTTGAATGTTTGCCACTTGGGGTTCATATTTTTCTGTGAGGAACTTGGCTGCTGCTGTCACTGCCACATCCTTTTAACAGATACATCTGATCGCCACTGAAGAATCATTTTGGAATTGTTTATCTTAAACCATTCCGTAGTAGGTGCCAGTGGCATGTTATAACGATCTGAGGCATCATCAATCGATGGTAACAGAGAAACAAAAAAACAGTGACGTCAACCGCGTCACTAAGAAACATGGCGACTAAACATGCTACGAATAACGTCGAGAGTTTGAACTACGGTAATTTATCTCAACTTTATCATATTCCGATGCCGGATACACACGAACCATCCTGTGGATTCTTGCCGTTTCTTCAATATGGCGACTGTGCTAAATTACTTCAAGTTCATAGTCCTTACCTAATGGCAAATTAGGACTTGTTCAAAAAGGTTCTCGTTTGCCATCTCATACTGACTGTACGGTGCAGCGTTACAACGACAGGCAAGGAGAGCCATGTCGCGGCGTTTTCTTGCTTTAATGAGATTCATAACTGACATCAGCTTCATGATAAGCGAGGTGTACGGATCCAAGTAGCTTTCAAGGGCCATCTACAGGGTAAAGAAGACTGTGAACTACCTAGAGCCGGAAAAAAGCTTCATGGTGGAGCTCAAGGCAAATTTTCGTGCTTTGTATAGTCGGTACTCTTTTAGCATTGCTGCATGCTCTATATTCATCTCATACGAACAATTGAGTTTTATCTATGAAGCTTTATCTGCTCACTGCGGCCGTCAGCGATTTCGGCATGAGCAGGTGGCAGCCCGCACTTACGAGGCCGTAAGCAGGTTACGGGTAAAAATTATCTAGCATCGGGGTATGCAAAGTTTGGCGCCTATCCAAGCGTACAGAAGAGGAACGGTGATGCTATTATACAACAACGCGCGATCATCCGTGCATTGCGGTCGCACATTGCAGTTTTATCATTACTGCTTCGTATGCTTGATATCATTTGTTATAAAGGAGTCAACAAGCGGAGAAGGTTTCACTCATTGACTAAACCTTGTGGGCCATTAAGCGTGAGCGACCGCTAGTGGTGACCCCTTGGCTAATCTGGTCCGGCTCCTTGATTCTGCTGCCGCTATAGTCGTCGTTTAGTTTCTCGCTAAGCGATTAAGGGAGCTGGGAGGGTATTTCCCAGCGGGTCATCCATGTGCACAATAGTATCAAAATTGGCTTAAAGGCTCCCGTCTTCAAGCAACGCTAGCCAGGCCGAGTCACATGTCTCGGTCCCGTGCCTTCTGTCATATCGTCTCGTGGGGTGAAAGACAACGCCGGCGTATTCCGTCCCAGCCGTACGCACGCTTAAAATCAACCCAACGAATAGTTACGGCGGCGGCGCTAACGCTGGCAACGCCGGCTTTACACCTCAGCGCACTCTGCTCAGTCGAGACAGGCAGATGGCAGAAGCAGGTGCAATGTCCAGAAAATTGAACAGTTCATAAAAACACAGTTCGTCACGTCATCATCAACAATTGTTTTGTAGATTATGTTCACAGTGGCAATAAAAATCAAGAGCATCATGATCGATGAAACTGCCCCTATGTCTGGAATCGGTATAAACAAGCAAGTCTGTCGGTGACATAGGCCTCCTTCTATATGCAGCCCGCATACGCCACCATATCTACGCCAGCAGGCGTACATGTTTCGTAGTTAATTATAGAGATGATGCAAAGCTAACAGGTGTCTGGTCATACACAGTGCGAAGTTAAACTTACCGGAAGGTCCCGAGACAGCGGAAACCAATAAAAGTTCACGTGACAACCGACGCACGAATACAATTTTTACAATGCAAGCAAGCGATGATAGGATTCGTGACGTGAATGGAGACACCGGTACACGACGAATGCTTTTTTTTTAATGCAGAAATATGTATCCACAGGTGATCTTGAGTATTCACTGTCTTGAAATTTCGTCATGCAAGTATCCGAGGTTAGGTAGAATGGTTAATCCAATAAAGGATGGATTGGCCAAGTTGGAAGCGTCGAACAAACTTAATGTCACATTGGTTTAGAGACGAATATGGCGCACTTCATCCGCTTCACACGGCGATATCTATGCATGCAATTTGTTGCCGACGATCGTGGACTAGGTAAACACACAGAATTGTCGATCTGGCACCGTTATTCTGCTAGAAAGTAGGCAATTTTTTTTCCTATATATGGTCGCGTGAACCTAGCAGCGATACAGCGTCGATTATATTGGTAGCGTGGTTTAATACATACGTCAACAACACTAAATGGGGCCAGCAAACGAGTCCGACTTGGCGCGGATCTGCAGGCGTCGAGCGGCTATGATCTTGAGCGTTCGAGATTGTGATCGTGGAAACACTACGCGGCCAAACGGTTCGAGGGGTCGTGTGCTCGCGAATGTCGGGCGCCCTGTTCTGCCTACCTGAAAGCCCAAATTCGTAATACTGTCAAAGCGCCGATCAGGAAAACCCGTTGGCTGCAAGCCGCTTGTCAGTCTTCAACCGCCGATCACACCAGTTGGCAAGCAGACGATGGTGATGCCTTTACTTTCTTTGGACTGCTGCTGCGGGTTTCCTCCTGTGCGTAAATGACTGGACCAGTATTAATGCCTACTTCACGCACTGTCCGCGCGCACTGTGGCTGTTAGAAGCGGACTGTTTGTTATTGATGTCGCGCTCGCTAGCGTTGTCAGATGGTCGCTATCGTTCTCGGCGCTGTCGACCGTACAAGTTGGGACGCTCTCCTTTCGGCAAGAAAGGAAAGGGAGGAAAAGACACGCTGGTCCACTCAACTATATACCTTTACGAGTACGCTCAACTGCGCTAGCTCGGGGCTGCTTACGGTGCGCCGCGTCGTCGCATTGCTCCGACCAACTAACAACTTGTGAGCTACCAGAACTGCGTGTAACGAACGCCACTGCTACTGCTTCTATCACCAGCCGCGGCTGATGCTCTACTCTGGAGTGGCAATCGCTCTTGTCGTCGTCGTCGTTCGCCGCTGCGCTCAACACCGTTCGCTTTCTGTCTGTGCCGCTCTAGCTGGCGACTGCGGTCCTACCAACGCTCTCGGCGCTTTTTCCAGTAATTTCCACTGGCGACCAACGAAGCAACAGCGGCAGCTCACGATGAACGCTTGGCACTAGCACCAGCTAGTGCCGCCGCTGGTCTGCAACGAGCTCAGCCGGGCCGGTTGATGCTTTGCTGCGGCCGCTGTGACGATCGACGACGCCGCCGCCGCCGCCGCCACCGCCGCCGCCGCCGCCGCGATGGATGCGCACGCGCGACGCTCTCACACGCGATCGAGAGAGGATGAAGAAGACGACGTTGACTAGCTTTGGCGACGACTAACTATGCGACTGGCAGCTTCTGGGGCCACTGCATAGGAATCCTATATACACACAGACGACGCGCGCACTCATAGGGACGCTGCTTCATACACAAGCGAAGGCGGCGGCGGCAGTTCCATCAAGCAGTCGCCCTTAGAGAGGCAACAGGCTTTCCGCACAGAGCGGCCAAGGCCGGCTACTGCTACTGCTATTTCCACAATTACGCTATCGGAAGCCTCGCGGCTGAAGCAGCCGATAGCGCGATCGAGTGCACAAGAATGCGTAAAGAGGCGACTGAGCAAGTGGATAAGAAAGGCCTGTCAAATTTATAGGCAGGCTTATCTTGTCCCTTACCGCCCCCAGACAAAGCGACGAATGGACAGATATGAGGCATAGACGAGATGCGTCGGCGCGTTTCTGTGTGGTACGGCAGCCTCGTCCTTCCTCTTTCGCCGTTCTCCTACCCTATGTCTTTCTTTTAAGAAAAACGTGTCAGAAGTCGGCTTGCTACTACGGCTGCCAGCTCTGATACCGATTCTTCCGCTGACTGCCTATGATCCTAGGAATATATAGCGCACGTATCCGCTTTACTGATCTCGTTTTCATGCGACATCTCGAAACAGTTCTATCATAACCGTGACGATTACGGCACACGTTGTCGAGAATAGGCTTGCCTTAGATTATCCACAGCTATTCCTTACGCAATGTTTTTTTCATCTAACGGTTGCTTCATATAGCGTAAGTATGACTCTATTCGTGGTGGTGATGAGGTCTGCCATAATCACGCTACACGTTCCTGAAACCACTAAGACGTTCTATTACGGATGGGTCTTCAGGAAAAGCGCCGGGGAAAGGGTGTTTGCGACGGATGCTGCGTCATGACGTGTGCGGTCGTGGAGCACTGAAGGGACCTGAGAGCGGTTGGCTGGCAGCGCTTGCTGCTTGAAATTACCGCTTGAAGAGCACCAATGTTATCTCTGTCAGCGCTACGAATGCTTCTAGCGACATTCTTGGAGCTGGAACTTCTTTTCTTTCGTACCTATTCTCTACCGGCAGTCTCTTTCTGGTCGCCTCTACGAGTGTTTGTCGGAATACACTCGCGCTGTCGCAAACAGGATCACTCCACTTTCGCGCCTACAGCGGCACCTTTAATCCTCCGTAAGGACGTCGTTATCGCTTGTCGGTGACAACAACAACGTCAACAACAGCAGCAGCAGCAGCAGCATGAGTAGCTCGTCAACTCACTGAATGTTCGACGACTGCTGCTGCTGCCGCTGTTGGCAGAAAGAACGCGCGCCATTCCATACAAGGGTTGATGGTGCACGCCACTGCGCATTCGTGTAACTGCGATGGCTGGCGCGACGACCCGGCCGATACCAACCAATACTGCTTGTAACATCTACTATGGTAATAAGTCAGCCAGCGTGTTGTTACTGAACCAGCACCACACTGTCACTACTAAGAGCGTTGCGGCTGCGAAGTGGAGATGGAGACGTTGTAGCAGAACGACAGTGCAGCGCGGTTCGGCCCTTCGCCATTCCGTTTCGTTGCTATTAGCGCTGGTCGACGCTGTTGCGACAAACGCACGCACGCACGCACGAACGCGCGCGCGCGCATGCACACACCGTGAGCAACGAGACGCTGAAGCCGACACAGCCACGGGCGTCAATCCCTCTTTCTCTCGGCTGGTGCGGCGGCGGCGGCGGCGGGCAGAAGGCCAACGAACCGTCCGCGTCGGACAGTCATCATGTGGTCATGTGCTCGTTGCTTACTCAAGTTGGCAAATCTGTCTATGAGCCAATCGGTCGGCTATTCTCTTTCTGCGTCCATCTGTATCATAGCAGACTTTAGTATGTGTGTATGTCTGTCGGCCAATTTATCCGTGTACGCGTTCGTCTGACCGCAGCGGTGAGCGGAAAAAAGTCGCGAACGCAGTAGTTTGTCTCAGCGGCCTGACTTGATTCTAAGCATGTAGGCTCCGTTGACTTCTTTCTCCCAACTGCCCTAATGGAGAGAGCGAATTGGTGACGTCAGGGTATCATCGGCGGTAATGCGAGGGCGAGAAGCAGAAAAAAGAACAAAAGATGGTTTCTTTCTCGCCAACGCCACTACTTCTGCCGCTGTTGTTGACCAAGATGAACCGATGCTGCCGCCGCTGCTGCCATTACTATCTGCACGAAAATTATTATCGCAACGTCTTTGCGCAGTATAATATCATCGTAGAGAGTGTTTAGCGATAGCTACTGCATTATTGTTACTTCGGCCGCGCTTCGCCGGTCGGTCGGCCGGTGGCCTCTGTCGCCAACAACAACCATTACATACCCACAACAAAGCAACAACAATGCGATAACAAGGAGCATGGGAGATGAAAGACCGAGCTGACAAACACGAATCGCAAGGCGACATGGGCCAGATCGAGTTCAGCAGCAGTTAAAGTACGGCACGAAGCAAAAGCAGAACGCAGAAACAAAGTGCAGTAATACTGATGGCGGGAAAAGTACCACTGAAAAGATCCTCGCCAACGATAACAGCAGCAACACTAAAAATAACAGTAAAACAAAGCTGAAGAATTTCGAATAGTAAATAACAAAAAATGCCACATCGCATAGGCATAGGTGTGCTTGATGTACTACTGATAGACGATCACAGAAAGCGAGAACGAAATACGGCGCGGATAGTTGTTGTTCAGTCTCGTCTCCCAGGGGAATAACTCCGCTACGGAAAAGTTTGCCAATAAAACTTCATCATCATTCAGCGACCCCTCTCAATCGTTCGGGATTCGCTTTGAGGCTTCCGATCGAGCGAAAAGCGTTCAGCGAAATTTCACTGAAAGATGTGGCATATCTTGGGGTAATGACACAGCGGTAACAATAGACGTCATTTCAGGCATTTTAAAAACACCTGCCCATATACTGGACCACGCAGAAACGCAATCGAATAATCTACGTTTTCACTTGGGTCCGATAGACATGTACACTATACATATTATGCAGTCAAAGAGATCATTTGTCTCGCGTCATCTATAATGATAACATGGAGATCGTTCGATCCCGACCGGTGACAAAGGTCTACGTATGCTAGCCTTTTTATATATATCTGTATATAAAATGTCGTTTGTCATTGGAATCATGCGTTTTATTGGCAGCTGCTATTGTACAATATAGATATAGAAATTAAGCAGCATCTCCTCGTCAAAAATCAGTTTGTCGCCCTGGTCGCGCCCGTAGCTCGTCTATATTGATCAGATGACTGTAATCTGGGAACCAAAAATTAGAATCTGGAAAATCCAAGCAGCTATGTACTGTTTCTCGTAGAGATCAGGCCACAGAATTGGATCTAAAGAGCGCATAGGTTCCTATTTACAAAGGAGAGCAGCTTATTCAGAAGTGTACGGATGCCGAATTTTTGCTATACCTATGAAGGAAAATTTAATTCTATGACCTACCTAACTGATGAATTTGCGATAAATATATACATATATTGATAGTAATGTCTCGTTCTCTTTAGACCTTGTAATGGTCGCGTATACATGTACCCGATAAGTATGTACAATTATTGATGATGACTGTTTTCCTCAATGTAGGGTTCAAAAGCATCCGTTATAATTTAGCTATGTCGCGAATAAAATGTTGTGCTAAGTTCAGGCTCCATAAATGAGTGTTTTAGGCGAAACAAAAATAGTGTCCTTCGATACCTATTTTGTTTCGCTTTTCTACGTGAGAAAAAGAGCTACAGGAAGTATGCCGGTATAATTATGCTGTAGATCATATGGTTTGCCAAGTTCGAAGATGGAATGTTGGAAATGAAGGACGCGCCTCGCTTCGCTTGATCAGTCATGATCGGTTAGATCTATGATGGTCAATGAAAACTTCGGATGCCAAAGAACCTACTAAATTAACCGAGATAATTAGCTGTACACAGTTAATAATTCTCCTGCATCCTGAATGTATTATTATTATGAATTATAAATTAGCCGCGTAGTTGTTCCGGCACCCAAGTGACGGACAGAACGACTCACGGCTTCCACGTCCTTCCTCCGAACAACCCGTTCAGTTCGAAGCGACATACAGATACAACCGACAGCCTCTTAGGTCCCTCCGGAAGATACGCCTCTCCCCGAAAAACCTATTGATTTATATTTTGTGTGTCTGGAAAGCTTCTACGGGCGAAAAATTATAAGGACATTATAAGCAGAAAAACCATCGTACTCTATGACTATCCCGTGTGTGATGGTGAAGGTCGCTGAAGCTGCCCTGCAAGAATTTGTTCACTCACGAAATTGTCCAGAGCTCGAGTCGTTCTCGATCACTGGCTGGACGAGCTTTTCAATACCAGATCGAAACATTTCAGCCCGAGTAAAATAAACTAAGAAAACTAAACTAAAAATTAGCTAAGAGCTGAAACGAGGCTTTGGGTAGTAACAATAAATATGTAACAAACTCATTTGTTGTTTCGTTAAATTGACATTACTTTTTGAGCACCATCCGTGTGTCCTATTCTATATAACTTCAAGATTTATTATAGAAAACTTGCAAACGTAGCTATTTTTTGCGCTGGCGAAAGCTTAACTTGTCAAAAGCAACAATTTGATTTAGTTCAGAACTGAATTTCGATTTACAGTAAGTTCTTTTATGCTTATAGTAAGTTATTAAGCTTACACTAGCAATGTTCGACACGTAATGCTAGTCCATCCAGCACCACTGTCCCCATTAACGAAGGCCGATGAATCACCTAAAGAAGTGATTGATGCCTAAGGAAACACAACATTGCTGATCGCATAGAAATAAAAAGAGGCGGGCCATGAAACGAGCTGGTCTCTTTCTAATGGTTAGTATTATTATTATTATTAGGCGACGGAACGCTTACAAAGCATCATTTAAAATAGAATTTGTGAAAATTCACGCTCGTATTAACGCCTTCCGGAAGCTTCGACGGAACGGTTGAATATTAAGTTCACTGATGTATTTATTGGGCTTTATATGAGCTGTGAAACCCTTTATATCACAGGATAGAATTAGTGGATCTGTACAATCAACTGCCCAAATCGTTCAATACGATGATATTGAAGTGGCTTTTAGAACAGATAATGTTATTATACTTCAAGCCATCGGTTTCCTAGGCGGCCAAATGCATCGACGTACCATAACCTCATAGAGGACATATATAAGCGTAAATTGCAGCCTTCTTTGCAGCCCATCCTTGCATTCCAGTGAGAAATCAGGTAGATGGCCTTACATATAAGTGCGTATCTGCTCTCTATTTGTAAAGTTATTCGGATCGTTTTAGTTTCTCTGCCGTTTACGAGGGCAGAACAGGTTCACGTTATTATTGAATGGTGCTTTCAAAGGCCGACGAGACTTTGCTCAACTGTGACATGTTCTTCGTTGAAGACTTTAGGGTTAGCTGCCCTCTATTGTCCGTATCGCTGCATTTTCTGTTTCAGCAAGCAGCCCAGGAGACGGTTTAAAAAAAAATTAAATACACCTCCAATGGGGATATTTCAAAAATGTAATGCCACATTTGAATACATCTTTGAGGGCCTCTGTTGTTTCCGGTTAGTGATGTCTTCGCTCTGTATATGATTGCTACATAGTCAGCGATGAACTGGCCGGTCAATCATCGTGAGTGTGTTGAGATCAAAAGGAGATGACCTCGGTACATGTCTTATCGTAATATGTAATACATCTGACTGTACAATATTATAGGGTAAATAAACCTATCCCGACTGAAGTCAGAAACAGCTGTGTGAATTGGAAAGCTGATCGTATCAGATGATCATAATGCGTGTCCTCATATTTTTTCTCGTGAGTCGTAGGCAACGCTAGGTAAAATATTATACATTTCATAGAAAGATGTCAGGCCAATCGAGCAGAAATGTTTCTTATTTTTAAGTGTATTTGTAAAAAAATGGTCCTGGTTTAGGAGGCTCTGGGCCTCTTCGTGTTATCGGCGATTTTAGCGAATAAACATAAAAGTACCCTAGGGAACAAATACCCTTTTAGGAAATGAATATAATAAAACCCCTTTAATCTAATTCTAGTCATTCAGTCATTTTCTTGGCACACGCTAAAAGGATTTATTATTTGCTTAGCTGAAATTGGCCTAGCTAGAAAAATAAAAGCTGTAAATAGACAGGCTTCACTGGGCGAGAATCCCACAGTATCAGGCGAATAGCTCTCAGTGAAGTCTGTAAATAACTTCAGCGTGTCACTCAGCTGTTCCTTCGCAAAGCGAAAAACCGTTCCATGACATGGACTATTTCTACGAATTGCTACTAATATAGTTGGTTTCAGACATTTAGTAAATAATATAAATCTTGCATTACCGGCAAAATATTAGGGA